TATATATATATATATATATTAGATGCATACATCTAGTAAAGAATTTCGATCTCCATCGTAATACCGGTTCCGTCCCGCATGTAGTGACAGTGTTCCAGACCTGTCCAGTTTATCACTAAAAAGGTGACAAATGGCGCCACCAGATGAGCGAGGTTAGCACATGCTACCTGAGACTTTCACTAGTGGCTCAGATGTTCCAGGGTTCGCGCACACTGACGCACACATAAATTCGATAAAATCCGGTCATACCTGGAAAAGAGTTGTGTAGCATTCAGGCAGGTCCACAAAATTACGGTGGTGGTTGGCTTTTGCTACCTCACGACATACAGATTTTTTTAACTGCAATTAAATTTGGCAAAAATACTTCACTGTCTGTTTGCAACACCAACGAGAAGGTAACTGACGAGTCATGTAGGTCGATCAACGCTTCCACATTTATAGTCCCTTCGACAGAGTTGGGAGGCAGTGCGATTGCTGTCCAATCTTAGTTTTAATTCAGAAAATAGTTTAGATTTTGTGAAAGCTTGATGGAGGAAGTCGTGGACGTACATAGCTGAGTGCATAAGAACTTTGTAGCCAACGAAACCTGGAATAAGTTCGGATCGGACCTGAGTATTATTGTAGGCACCGTCTTTGGGGAGGAAGGGGGATCTTATGCTTGCTCATTAGGCGCTGAAATTTCAGGACATCATGCTGATTGGAGAAAATACAGGATATATGGATCACATCAAACCTTTGGATGCGTTTATAAATACCAGAACACCACGTACTGTCCAATAAACACGCTTTCATGACAGATGTTTACAGCGAAGAGATATTAGCACTTTGTTTCCCAGACCTCATGAAACACGCTTCGCGGTAAGCTGACTTTGACAGTGTAGGCCGGTGTAACGCTTATGCCACGAAAACCAAACCAAACGAAGTGAACATCACTAGTTGGATGGTAGCATTGTTTACAGTCGAGGACTGGACCATAAACCTGGACGCGTGTAGGCAGGATTTGAATGCATGGTTTACCATATAGTATCTATCTGAAAAATACCAAGTCATTCTGCACGTACTGCAGAGGCGAAAGCGACACTGTACGAACAGTGATGAAGAAGAGATGTCTGTGTTACGTTTCACCATATGGTTGATCGAATTTATCAATACCTCTTAACATATGATGTTTTAACAC